TCACAATAGTTCACAATCATTCATTAATATAATACATGAACAATTTATGTAGAATCTAAAGTTCGTAAAACATAAAGTTGGGGCATGCATTATGATGAAGGTTCATGCAATTTTGGTTGAAAAAATATCAAGATAAAATCTTTTGTTTTGGAAGAACCTGATTGTGTGATGATATTGATGAACTAGTTTGTAGCAGAAAATTTCACATCCTACTCAGGAAGGCCGTCAAATTCTCCATAAAGGATCAATTTAAACCCTCTGATTGTTTCTGCTAGATCAACATATTTTCCCGGGGAATCGATAAATACTTCAGCTACGAAAAAAGGTTGTGATAAGAAACGCTCAATTTTTTGTGCTATTGCTATGGTTAAGCGATCCTCTTCGGATAATTTGTCCAACCCAAGGATAGCTATAATGTCTTGAAGTTCTTTGCAATGTTATAAAGTTTCTTTAACCCTTTACACAGTTTCATAACATTCTTCACCAACGATATGAGGTTGGAGCACATTTGATGTTGAATCTACAGGATCTACTGCTAGGATTCCTTAGCGCAGTAGAGGAGCATGCTGATAACGTGTCGTGACCTATATTATTGACAAGGAATAGAAGGGTGTGGCAGAGAGAGATTGGAAAAAGTGTAGGGATTTCTCTGTGTGTGTTATTCCCTCTACATAGTGCATTTATTTATAGTAGTAAAGAGGAGAGGAATTACTTGTCCTCCAAGTAAATACAATCCTATACAAAAAAAAAAAAAAAACTAGTAACCAAATCTATCAAGAATTTGTTGGAAATTATAAGTATACTAGTAACCAAATATATAATTTTAATAACTGAATGAAAAATAATGTTAATTGTATTGCTTAGAAAGGTTATGTTGTTTATGTGCATTCCCTTGCTAAATGATGTATACTTATAGATGAAAAGTTACATCTCTTTAATAAGTAGTAATTGGATTCTATATAAACCCATGAAACCATTGATATTAAATGATAGAAAATTAGAGTTAATTTTTACTCTTGAGGGTTTCGCCACTCATTCTCTCATTCTTCGTTTGTCAAATTCCGAGTCGTGTCTTGAGAGTACAAAATATATAAAGTTTGCCAGAGTCCGAAGATTGAAGTGCTTCGACTTCGGATTATAAATTATTGAATCCTGGAAGATGGACGTCTACCGAACTACAAGCACAAGAGTATGGGCAAAATTATGTCTTTAGGACATTGCATTTATGCAAGCTCCAAGTTTGTTAATATTTCTAACTTTCTCCCTAGTTGTTTATATTAATCTCCTACACAATTGATGTTGTGATTTTCTTTATGATTATTAGCATTGGAATTATTGTGTTATTTTCATATTTTCTAATATTGCTCCGACAATCTAATGACAGAATTACTTATGCAATAATTAGAAAATATGGATTTAAGAAATAATTATATTGAAAAAGTAGAAAAGAATCATTTAGATATATGTTAGTCAAACTGCAGTTTAAACTTTGAAACGTGTGCATCTTGAACCAACAACAATAACCTGTCGTTCATTAAGAACGACAAGTTATTGTTGTCGATTCAATACTCTAAAAATTAGACATTGAGAATGACGATCAGTTATTGTGATATGTGATTGGTTTTGCCAATTCAAAATCTTGCCAACCGTTGTGCCTATTAAATGGTTTCTCAAATTGATATACAATATTGCATTAATATAAAGAGAACCCATTATTAAAATGGAAGATATAGTGGTTATATTATCATACAAATCATGTTTTGATAAGAAGATGCATCCCACTGCATATAATTTGACGAAGCCATATCTAGGTTTGAAATCTCGGGCTGATGTTTGGTTGGTGTTTAATTTTACATAATAATATTCGATGAAAAAGGCATTCGGTGCTTTTAACCAACACAATCAGTTCTGATTGGTGAGGTTCGTGGTGGGCTGAAATCAGACATGATTTTTTATTTGACGGATTTATCTGTTCAAATAACAAACAGATGCCAAACAATATGCAAAGGTCTTCAAGTTTTCTCAAACAGTACGAACACAAGGATAAGGAAATGAATTGGTGAACCATTCGGTCACTGGTTACGGAAAGAGATGGCGTGGTCACTAGTTTAGTTCTTTTCAAACTCTAACCATATCGGTTATGGTGCTAGTGCTATTTGAGATATAGAAAAGCTAGAGATTCTAGTTTCTAGAAAGATATGGCGATAATGATTTTCATCATGAGGTTGCTGCAATTATTATGAGATCCGTACATGTTCAATGTTTGTCTCCATTATATGAAGAAAGGTGTCGGTTAAAGCCAAGTGAATGCCAAAGTGGTGTATTGAATTCATACCAGTTCGTAAAATGGATCCTTTTTTCCAGAAAGGAAATGTGTTATCGAACCAAAAAAGTATGGTATGTCAAATGCCCTTTGATTTTTCTACCAAAGGGAACATAATGGTTGCTTGATTCTAATTTGAAATGACCATGAATTTTTATTTATTTATGAAGAAATATCATGAATGTGCAGTTTGAAAAGAGCCATGAAAACACGTGCAGAAAACCACACAAGAAGGTGCTGACGTGATTATTTTTACAAGCCGTTGCAACTCTATGTAAAAATGTGTCATTAGTGCTATAGAGAAACAGTTTCAAACTAGTAATTGGCACTAGACACTAGCATTGCTAGTAATTAGTGTAGTGTTAGAATTGCAAAGGAGGTGAGACTAGTACAAGCACTAGCAAAAGAAGACGATCAATTTTATGATAAGTATCATAAAAGGAATCTTGCGGTTCCCATGTTAGTCATGGATGAAGTGAGAATAAAAATTCGGGGTATATTTTACAGAATTAAATTAGACACGATGATGTTTTTAATTAAGTAAGCATATGAATTAATGGACATGGTCATGGGGTCATGCATGTAAGTCATAGTAAGGAAGAATGAAAGCCAAAAAAATGTTTTCCCCATAATGGCTAGTGAGGCATGAATACATAAGAAGATAGATAAAATCAGTCTAGTTGTTCCCTACTTCTTAAAAGTAGAAAACGTGATCGATTTAATGATGACATTAAAAGTAACCACAATTATTGAAGAATTGTGGGGGGCAGTTTAAGTATCTTTGATATATTAAGAAAAATGGAAACATAATTTGTTAATTGAATGAGACAATCAAGATGTCATCTCTTGTGATGAGTAATTGTTTAAGGTATGGCAAGGTTAGAGACCTTCTTACAAATACCTTTAATGTAGGGGAGTTTAATTACTTAGTAATTAAGTCCTAATATAATTTTGAGGAATTGACATTTCACACAACTACTCTTGTATGAAATATAATTTCGTAACAACATAGAGAAAGTCAACCTCGTGGATCCAATATTAAAGGATTGACTACAGAGTAAGTTGACCATCGAGGGAAATGAGGCTAAATCCAACATAAGCAATGAATCAACCGGGCGGAAACCTAACTTAGATGATTGGAGATCCCATGGTCTAAGTTCAATAGACAAATTGGTTGGGCATGATTCAAAGAAGTTAACAAACTATAGACCTCATTCCTATGGTGGGAAAAGTGTGTTGTTCTGCAAAAGTTATAGGGTCTATATTTGTACTTAATGTCAGTGATATCTTAAAAATAAGAGGGATAGAGCAGATTATTCTTAATATGTGGTCACCTAAATGAGAGTAGAAGTGGGTCGCTTATATACGTATGAGATGGCTAAATTCTCTAAAGCTCTGATGAATCCATGATTTGTTCAGGACCAAAATGAACACAACTTTATGAATCGTAATATATTAGGATTAATGATGTGCGTTGCTTATTGTCTCAGTTTACTGCTGCGGTGAACAGTTCAAGATTCCATATCCACTGCGTCACCAAGTAAATCCGATAAGTATTCACTAGGGTAGGTTCAAATCCAAAAGACACCTCTCTTGATCCATCTTTTGTCTGCCTGTACTCTCAAATTCTTCTAATTTTTCATTCATGTGGGGGATTGTTGGAAATTATATATTATAATATGAAATGTTATAGTATATAATTTTAATAATTGAATGAAAAATAGTGTTAACCATATTTCTTACAAAGGTTTAACCATATTTCTTAGAAACGTTATGTTGTTTATGTGCACTCCCTTGCTAAATGATGTATACTTATAGATGAAAAGTTATATCTCTTTAATAAGTAGTAATTGGATTCTATATAAACCCATGAAACCATTGGTATTAATTGATAGAAAATTAGAGTTAATTTTTACTCTTGAGAAATAGGGTTTCCCCACTCTGTTTCTCTCATTCTTCGTTTATCAAATTATAAGTTATGTCTTCAGAATACGGAATATATGAAATTCGCTAGAGTCCGAAGATTGAAGTGCTTCGACTTCGGATTATAGATTGTTGAATCCTGAGAGACGTCCGCCTACCGAACTACAAGCACAAGAGTAAGGGCAAAATTATGTCTTTAGGACATTGCATTTATGCAAGCCTTAATCTCCAAGTTTGTTAGTATTTCTAACTTTCTCCCTAGTTGTTTATATTAATCTCATACACAATTGATGTTGTGATTTTCTTTATGATTATTATCATTAGAATTATTGCGTTATTTACATATTTTCTAATATTACTCCAACAGAATTTACACAATTACACTTTAATATAATATTTATAACATATATGATATTGTATTGAAATGTTCCTTGTGTAACAGCTGCAAGAAGATATTCCATATAATCATACATGTTTGACCAATTCCAATATCCAACTGTGGAAACGAGAATTGAGTAAATGAAAGGAAAAAACCAAAGGTAGTTCCCTTACACGGCATTCGTGTCACATTTAGTTATCAAACATGGTGAGTTCACCAGGACATTTGATGTATTAGTTAGGAAGGTACTACCCTTCGACTTTAAATAACCAAAACTTATACATCCTCATATAGGGATATCGAACAAGTGTAGTATTGTTCTTCTTGATTAAGAAAAATAGTACTATACTTGTTCATATTCTCCAAAACGTTAAAATGGCGAACGTTGAAGCAATTAGGATCCTCGTAGGCGTCATTGGTCAGTATATCATTTTCGCGATGAATTAACTTTTTAGTTTTACTTTACGTAAAAAATAACCAAGTTCTTATTAAATTCTTCTTGTTCCTCCCTTTGCAGGAAATGTCATATCTTTTTTCTTATTTACCTCTCCAATGTAAGTTCTCTCGCTCTATCTCTCTCTCGTCCTTGTGTTCCACGTACGTACATGGTTACAAAATTCTTATGTTTTATGAGTGACTGTAGTTAAAATATTTGCAGCCCAACATTTGTGAAAATCATCAAGCAAAAGTCAGTTGGAGAATTCAAGTCAGATCCTTATATTGCAACTCTGCTTAATTGTGCAATGTGGTCGTTTTACGGCATGCCGATTGTTCATCCGGATAGCCTTCTTGTCATTACAATCAATGGCACTGGATTTTTTATTGAACTCGTTTACATTGCCATCTTCTTCACATATTCCTCTGGGAAAAACCGAGTAAGTCGTACTAATAACAACAACTAAACTGCACGTTATGAATTTGCAACACGTGTTTTTTTCTTTCTTTCAGCGAAATATCATCATTGCTCTTCTGGTTGAAGCTACATTATTTGCCATTGTGGTTTTCATTACCCTACACTTCTTCCACTCAACGAAAGACCGGTCTATGATAATTGGGCTCTTGTCTATTGTCTTTAGTATCATTATGTACGCGTCACCCTTGACTGTCATGGTATGTATCTATAATTTTTCATGCGCGTACGTAGGTGCACTGCTATTTAGACAACATTTACTGATAACATGAAAAGAAACCTATTTATACACGACTTACTTCTACTAAAGTGAGGTGGTCACTAAACACCTCCAAATGCTACATACTAAATGTCTTGAATCAAGTTGATGTGTTGCCTTTCTTGGATGACAGAAAATGGTTATCAAGACGCAGAGTGTTAAGTACATGCCATTTGCCCTCTCGCTGGCTAACTTTTGCAATGGAATTGTGTGGCTCATCTATGCACTTCTTAAATTTGATCCCTATATTCTGGTAATTGTCGAAACGAACATTTTAATTTACGATAAGAGTTTTGATCCGTTTCTGAAATTGTTTTCTTGTTATTTTAACAATTTTGTTTGAACAAATTTTGTAGATTCCAAATGGTTTAGGAACAATTTCTGGCTTGGTGCAACTCACCTTGTACGGCACTTACTACCAGACCACCAAATGGGATGAGGATGATGAAAAGCCAAAATCGGATGTTCAACTCTCAATAGGGATGACAATTCTAACCGTTAGATCCGATAACCGCGGATAACCGTCCGAATGGATTGGATTTGGGTATGAAAATTTGGGTATATTTTGGGTATGGGGAAAAACTATGAATATTATCCGGTTATGGTTTTAGATATGGTTATATGGGTCTCTAATCCGTATCCGTCCCTGAATCCGAACCGAATAATATAATATAATTATGTAATATTAAAATATTAAATAGTATATATATATATATATATATATATATATTTATATATATTCATTATTCACCGAATCCATTACATTGAAAATATAAAAATTGCGTTGTGTGAGTTGCATTTTGTGAGAAAGTTCAAAATTTTTTATATGAATCAAAATATATGATAATTCAATGGTACTTATAGGAGATATCAAATATTAGCCAACATTATCAATGTTTAGCTTTAATTTTTATGCTTTACAAGATCTATTCACTAAATCATTTTATCATCAATTATATAGTGACGAAATTAATATTTCCTAAATTATCATGCGTCAATTGGATGAATATATTTTTTGTATTGACGAAGATGGATATAACCGTTAACCGATGGGGAATCCGTTACCCGGTGGATATGGTTATGGATAATATTCGATGGTTAATTTGTGGTCATGGATATGGTTAATTTTAGTGGTTATAGGGATAGATATAGTATTTCCGTCCCCAAACCAAACTGTTGCCATCCCTACTCTCCAACGTTTTGAAGACGAGTAATGCTAAGTAGACTACATTGTAAATCTCTGATTTGTCAAATCAAATTAAAGATTCGGATAAATTATTTTCCAAAATTTTATGAATGGTAAAACCTTTTTAAATTTCAATTGCAAAAGTGGGCATAGCTCACCATACTAAGGAGGTGGTGAGAATCACTATCCTAAGATAGTTGTGAGTAATATCACCACATTAATTGCGGTTAGATGAGTTTGGTATAATATATCTAATACAAAAATATCGAAATTCAAAGTGAATCTACTATTATTCAATGCAAACCACTATTAACCTATCTTAGCTTGATGGAGCGGAATTTATTATGACCCACCACGAAAGTTTTATTTAGGAGTGGGCACAATTTGGTGCGGTTTGGTTTTGGGGTATAATCAAAATCAAAATTTATTGTGGTTTGATTCAGTTTGACAGTTGGAATCGAAGTGAAACTAAACCTTTCATTTTTGGTTTTGTTCGGTTTAGTTTCCAACGGTTTTGGTTTCGGCTATGTTAAACAATTGGGCTTATCTTACATGTCTATTTCAACTTTTTATTTTATTTTTACAGTTTTCAGTTTGTTTGGGCCCCAAAATAGAAGAAAGGAACAATTTACAGTAAGTAAAACCAAAATTGATAACCACTATACTAAACTTCAAAGAAATCCCCTTTCGGTTTGTTTTAAAATTGAGTCGTTGAGGGTGATAATGGCTAAGAGCTTTATTTTATTTTAAAGTTTCGTGATGGTTTTTGAAGTTTCAAATGCCCCAAATGCAGAAAGCACCTTGTCATATCAATCAAACTTACGGATTTTTCAATCTAGTAAATGAAACAGATTAACATGGAACATGGAGGATGAGTATGAAGTGTAAAGTGAGAATGAGTAGCTAGAAACATTTTTATTTTATTTTACTAGCAAATACACGCGTTGCCTTTTGCGTTTTTATTAGTGGTGGGCAAAATGGATCGAGAACCGAAACCGAACGAGGTCTGAACCGGAAAAATTCAGCCAGTTCAGTTTTATACAATTTTTTCTCGGTTTCAGTACAAAACCGAACTGGTCTGTTAACATTCGGTTTAGGTGTTATACGTGTTTGACTTGACCAATTTTTTTTTTAGATTCCTCTTTCCCCTTGGCTGCCCTTAATTGGTTGTTGGGAGAGCCCATAGAATTACTATGGAGTCTACCACATCGTATCTAAGACTCACTAAATATCAAGATTCTAAAAAACGTTAGGCGCTAGTTAGGCGGGTGAAAGGGGCCTAGCGTCTAGACGGTTAGGTGGGGTCTAGGCAGGCGCCTAGATGGACTAGGCGGATTTGGGTAAATTTATTATATATCTTAAAAATAAGTGTCTGTTTACATTTAAAAATTATATTTATATTGAAAATTTGAAAGAGATAAAATTCAAAATAGAAATATCCATAAACTAAAAGAATACAATTAATATTTTATTTAAAAAAAAAGGTTGTATGAGTTAAATGAATGGTAAAGAAACATTTTTATTGGGAACATAAACCAAAAGATACAATAAATAATTTTTTATTTAAAAAAGGTTGTATGGGTTAAAGGAACCATAGAGAAACAATTTAATATGAAAACGTGTTAACATTGGTAACTGACTCATTAACTCTGGTGAGTGGTGACTTCTAAAAGTGAGCGCCTCCTTGATGAAAACAAAAACATAATTGAACCAACTGCCTCCCTCTTGTTCTCCCTCTGAAGCTGCAAACCAGGTGCGGTGAGATCATGAGAGATGCGACGCGAGATGGTGCAGAGATGTAGTGCAGATGCGACGGGATGCAAGTCTAGGAGATGCAATGATTGTGAGAGATGTGAATGAGAAAGGATGAAGAAAGCCTGCAATTCACGGTGAAAGTGCAAAATTGACGGTGAGATTTCAAAATCATGGACCGCCTAGAAAGCGCCTAGGCGGCCGCATAAACCCTCCCCAATTTTCATCAACGATTTGGCCTAAATCGGATCGGCCCTTCATCGTTCAGCGCCTAGGCCAACTTTTAGAACACTGCTAAATATCTAAGGGTGTGCTATCCACACACCTATTTTTACTTCTCACACACCCATTTTTACTTCTCACACACCCTTTGTTAATTTATGTCCGTTGATCTTCTTCAATTCATCTAATCCAACGGCCGAAAACCAAAACGATGTGGGAGAACTAAAAAAGGGTATATCGATATCACACTCTAATATTTATGAAAGATGATCTATTCTCTCTCACACTCTCAACTCATCCCATCACACACTTAGTCACACAGGCAAATGGACTCAAAGCTCAGTTGCTAGCCATCTCATACAGTTTATCTTATAACTATGACTACCTCAAGAAACTTGTCCTTTGATGTACGATAATAAACTAAATTTATCAAATAAAAAATAACAAGAAACACATAAAATTTATATTGGTTCGGCGGAACTTTTTCCTACGTCCATTTGTGATTTCTCTAGGTAGAGAAATCACAACTTCTTTGAATTAATAATAGAGCAACAATACTTTTGTAAACATAAAACCAATCCCTCCGACTTTCTAAGCTGTCTTTCTATTTTCTCGTGTTTTTGCCCCTTGTTGCACCCTATGCAACTTACAAACCTATTTACTAATGAGAACATCTGTTATATTTGGGTTAGAAGGTACACTTACATTCCTATTATGTTTATGCTTCTAGAATTCATAATCTAATTATACAATTCTTGTAGGACAAGAATATTTGCACCTTTAGCTTTCCTAATACAATCCTAAATAAAATAGGACTATAATAAATGACGGCAAACCCCTAAAAATCTCCACATTGGTGAGTCAAATCAAGTCTTGACTGCTGCACCCCAAAGTATCTTCGAATCTTCTTGAAGCATCTCTAGAAATCTTAAAGAACATTTACTTTTGCAAACTCCTTCTTGCCTCATTTCACCTCAAATAAGGAAGTGGTCCATCTTAATATTGATCAAGTTCAAGTAATGCTGGAATTTCTTGGCCACACTATCTTGGTAAGAAATCTGTGGCACCTTAAACTCTACCAAATCTCAAATTATGTGATACCTCGCTTAAATGTGCTTTGATCTTGCATGAAAAACTCGATTCTTGGCCAAGTGAATGACATGTTGACCGTCACATCTCAGCTTCACGTAATGTAGAGTGATTCCCAATGTTGACTTTCTGGATTTTCATGTACTTGGAAACGACACTGATTGCTTGAGCTAAGTCAGGTCGTGTGCACACCACTTTGTACATTAGGCAGTCCACGACATTAGTATACGGCCCATGCTTCATCGCTTGTTTCTCTTTCTCAAACTTAGGACAATGATGCCCACTTAATTTCAAGTGACCCACCAAAGGAGTCGAAATTGTGTTTGCTTGTAGCATGTTGAACTTCTCAAGAATATTTTGGATATACTTGGCTGTGATTAGCAAATCCTACCGGCGGTCCTACCTCTCCGAATTTCCATGTTAAAGATCTTTTATGTTGCACCTAAATCCTTCATGTTGAACCTCTTGCTCAAGATCTTCTTCAAGTCTAGAATTCTAGACTTGTCTTGACAAGCTATTAGCATGTCATCCACATATAACAGCAACAATATGATTATCCCATCTTGAAATACAAGATAAATCACACAAAAGTCATATCCTAAAATTTATTTTTAGCATAAAGGAATCAAACCTCCTAAAATTTATTTTTAGCATAAAGGAATCAAACCTCTTGTAACACTGTCTTGGAGACTACTTTAGGCCATACAAAGGCTTCCTAAGCCTATACACTAGGTTCTCTTTTCCATATCGGCAAACCTTTCTGGTTGAGTCATGAAAATTGTCTTCTCTAGATCTCATAGAGAAACATAATCTTCACATCCATTAGCTCAATCTTCATGTTATGTTGTGCTACCATTGCTAAAAATAATTTGATAGAAGTACGCTTGACCACCGGTGAAAAGATCTCAACATAATCCACATCTTCCTCCTATGAGTACCTTTCCAAGTTCCTTGCTTTGAATCTCACGACATCTTATTCATATAATTCTTCATTTTTCCTAAGCACCCACTTGCATCAAACTAGTTTTCTGTCTTTAGGCATACGAACCAACTTCGAAATAGAGTTCTTGTAGAGCGACTCCATTTCTTCTGTCATCACTTATCCAACTATCCTGCTCAACACTTGCTATAGCTTCTTGATAAGTAGTGGATCTCTTTGACTAATGTTAAGAGCATAATTAACTTCGTCTTGGTCAAACCCAAACTTGTAAGGTTTCTTCTTGTTTTGAATGGGTTTGTCTAGTGCTATGCATCTTTAGAATACATGTGAAT